CTCAGTCTCTCCCCAGGTGTGGCTCTTTGAGTAGATTTCGAGGATGCTGACGAAGATGGCATTGAACTTTACCCGCTGCTCCTCGGGAAACGGCTGCAGCGCCTTGAGGGAATTGAAGTCGGCGCGAACTGCATCCCAAAGTCCCTTGCTCGCCTTCTGCTTCGCAAATGCACCACGAAGCTCCATATCCTTCCACGCGTTGGGATATTCGATGCAAAAACTCTCAAAGTCTCTCTTTGCCAGTGCTAAGTCGTTTGCCTCGAGGCGGATCCGCACAATCGTGTGCCGGATGGCGTACGTATGTTCGATGCCGTAAAAGTCGTTGTCCAGCACATGATTGATGAGTTCCAGCGCGCCCGTGTAGCCGCGTGAGCGCTCCCACTGCTGCCACAGGATGGACTCGACCCATGTGCTTTCAACCAGCCAGCCGTCGCGCTGGCTGAAGCGGCACATGGTATCCAGAACCTCGAGTGCGGCGTAGTTGTGCGACTTGATCACGCAGTCAACCGCGAGGTCGCACATTTCCCTGGTCTGGAAGCTCGGTCTCAGGCTCTGGTACGACGAAACGAACGTGTCGATGGCCAGCGTGTATTCGTTGTGTTTGGCCAGCTGGCAGATGAACCAGGTCGTGTCAGAGAGCTGGGCTCTTGCAATGTACTTGACTCTGCCAAATACTTCCGTAATGAGGGTGCTGCGCTGCAGTTCCAGAGCCCTGGAAATCACATTCTTGCCCATTGCGATGTATTGCTGGCGCACACGGGAGGGGGCCTGGTCGATATCGGCAATGTCGGCCAAGTACAGCCTCCTGATCTGTCTGATGTGATCCGTCCGCGCAGTTTCCCCGGTAAATTTCTCCAATATGAGGGCCTCCATGAGCTCCATTGGCCGGTGCGCCAAGTAGTCGCCCAGACTGATCGGGCCATGGTTGACAATGATCCGCAGAATCTCCCCAGCGTCCGTGTAGTGGCCCTCTTGCTGGCATGCGATACACAATAGCGTAGATAACTTGATGAGCCAGTCGGGAGGTTCCCGACAGTCGGCGACGGAGGCTTGTGCTCGACGCACCAAGTCTACGGCCGCAGTCGGCGCATACTGGTTTGGATCTGACGGCGAATAGCGGGGTCCGTCCACATTCCCCAGGTGAGGATTATCTCTCAAGAACTCATCGAGCGTGTGGGCAAGCCTTCTCGTCGGCACAATGGGCTGGACAGGCTGAAATTGCGACTTTCTGGCTGCCGCAGCAGGTCTTTGATGTCGGGGCTCCCCTGATGAGCGGGACACCGGCGCCGTTCCATCAGATTCTTTCTGCTCCTTCTTTTCTTTCGGGCGTGTTGGCCGTCGGGGGTCGGGCCCAAGCCCCTGTGAAGCTTCGTACAGCTCGGCTGAAGATCGGCTCTTCGACCTTCTTGACCAGCCCGAGAAGTCTGGGTCGGTTCGGACTTCCTCCTGCAATGCCTCGATCGTGGCTCGCCCATTGGTGCTATACCGTTTCAAGGACTTCAACTTCCGCCCATTCTCGACGGCGGACCGAGCAATCTTTATGCGTTGGCGCCGCTCCTCTGCCACCAAGACGAGCGAGCAAGACGTCCCAAAGAGAAGGCCTCGCAGCGCATGGAGAGCGGCCTTGGAGGGGACTGGTGGGGGTGCAGACATTGCGCGAGCTCGACAATGTCCATGACCGATTCGGTTCGTCTATCGACTCATCTCGGAGGGCATGCGATCAATCGTTCGGGCGTGGGCGTCGTGGTGCAGCGGGAGCATGCCAATCGGCTGTTGGGAAGCACCAGGCAAATATCGAGAAACCCTTGTCGAGACCAGAATTATCGTACCATCGCCTAGCTGCCCTCGGTCGCGGTGCTCCGGGCCGCGGTGGTGGTGAAAATTCACCGGCACAGTAATTTTCCGGTGCCGTGCCGAAAGCCAGGCGGTTGGTCACAGGCGGGTGCCCTGCAGACTGCCGTAGCAACTCCACTGCATCTCCCAGTCCTTTGCACCACTACACGCTGCAACCCTCCCAAGCGAAGCCGAATGAGGTGTCATTGAGTAGGTCGGCAAGTTCTTGCAACGGAGCCTCTAATTAAATGTCTAGGCGATACCAGTGAGAGCGATGGTCCCGTTATAGCGGGTCATTCAGCACCCAAAATGGCTTCATCCATTCCTTTGGTATTCTTTAATCTGATGGTAAGGTAAGTAGCTACGGTTTGCAGACGTTTCCAGGTGCTTTGGATATCTTTATGTTGCCGTTGTACGGTCTTGCGCTTCGTATGCACCAGCGAGCCGGTGATAATGCCTGCTCACCGGCGGGATGGCTCTAGCCATGTGCAACGACACTTGGATGACCTTGGCATCAGCAACTAAGGCAGGAACGCCAGCATCGAGAACAGCAGTTCTGGCCTCGTTGACAACGTTGACTGTGTTGTGCGTGCTCACATATCAATCCCCAAGGCAAGGAGAAAGTTGCTCCGACTGCTTATGAATCCAGCTTGTCCAAAGTAGCACAGTTGCCATGTAGTTCCATTCGCCGCCTCAATCGGGCCTGCAGCCGGACCCCGCTAGCGCCTCAATATGCGAGACCATACACAATGCGAAGAATGCGAAGAGCACAATCCGAAAGCCCCTCCATGTTCGGGATTAAGACCGGTGTTTAACCAAACCACGAAGCAAGGTCATCCACTGCCGTGGCTGGGTCTCTGTGCAGGGCCTTGTTACATGGCACACGCGAGCTGGAGCATCACGGACTTAAGGCCGGTGCAGGAGCTAACTCTAAATGCCCACATATCCAATGGGACTACCGCATGCTTGAAGGCACTCGTCGAGCAATGATGAGATCACCCGCAACTGGATCTACAGCCTGCATTGCCGGCTGGGGCTGGTCCACGGGTGCGCCTCCAAGCAGCCAGTTGCACAGGTAGCGACCCGTAGTCGGTTTCGCGTCCAAGTGGGAAGGAAGCAAAGAGCGGTATAAGTTTCAACCCCTCCTTCCTCTTGGATGCCCTCTATTCACATCACCAATTCGGCACTTGAACATCACCGCTTCACTTTGAATCAACTTCACCCATCACACCTCATTTTCCCTCATCCTTTGCAACATCAAATTACACCTCCAGCACTGCACCCCAGCCGTCACACTCATCATGTCCGCCCTACCTATGGCAGCTCCCCCCAAGACCCCTCTGGGTCGCTACCGCATGCTCTCCCCTACCGCCTCCGTTCGAGTGAGCCCTCTCTGCCTCGGCGCAATGAACTTTGGCAATGCCTGGGAGGGTTACATGGGAACGTGTGACCAGAAGACCGTCGAGGGCATTCTCGACTTTTTCTACGACCAGGGCGGCAACTTCATCGATACCGCCAACAACTACCAATTCGAGGAGTCCGAGGCCTGGATCGGCGAGTGGATGAAGAAGAGAGGCGTCCGCGACCAGATGGGTACGATTGTCGAGCTCGTCACCAGTTCCTCACTAACACAGCTCTAGTCATCGCGACCAAGTACACCACCAACTTCAAAGCCGGACCGGGCGCCCCTAACATCATGGCTAACTTCACCGGCAATGGATCCAAGAGCTTGCACACATCCGTCGAGGCGAGTCTTCAGAAGCTGCAAACCAGTTACATCGACCTCGTGAGTTTCGAAATCTTCAGTTGCCAAGTGACGTCACTGATTCGCGCCTAGCTCTATGTGCACTGGTGGGATTATTCCACGTCGATCCCAGAGCTGATGCAGTCACTGAATCATCTCGTGGTGACGGGCAAGGTTCTCTACCTGGGCATCAGTGACACTCCGGCGTGGGTTGTCAGGTACGTGAGGCGCAGCATCGGATAGAAGAAACTACTGACGCCCACGCAGCAAGGCAAATGAATACGCCAGGAACCATGGCCTTCGTCAATTCTCGGTCTACCAGGGCCGCTGGTCTGCCGCCTCTCGCGACTTCGAGCGTGAGATCATCCCAATGACGAAGGCCGAAGGCATGGGCCTGGCCCCCTGGGGTGCTCTGGGCGGCGGCGCTTTCAAGACGGAAGAGCAACGCAAGTCCCAGGAGGGCCGCAAGGTTCAGGCCAGCGAAGCGCAAATCAAGATCAGCCAGGTGCTGGAGAAGATTGCCAACCGCAAGGATACCATCATCACCTCCATCGCGCTCGCATACGTCATGCACAAGACGCCTTACGTCTTCCCCATCGTCGGCGGACGTACCGTCGACCATCTGAAGCAGAATATCCAGGCGCTGACGCTCAACCTGAGCGACGAGGACATCCAAGAGATTGAGGCGGCTGTACCGTTCGACATGGGATTCCCTCACAACTTCCTGTGGGGAGAGAAGGCCCCGTCGGCCCCTGGAGAAGTCTGGCTGTTGAACATGGGAGGAACCTTTGATTACGTCCCCGAGCCCAAGGCCATTGCGCCCAAGGAAGGACAGTAGAGCTGGAGAATCAGGTCTCACCGCACGAGTTGGCGCCCGACGGACTACTGAATGTGTATGATAAGTGGGATGGGCATACTAGCACCAAAAAATGAAGCCATGACAACGCATTATACTTTTTTTTCGAATTGTTTGAAGGCATGTGTTTCGGAAGTATGAGGGTGTCGTTGACATTGTGTTTGGGGGCCTTGAGCCTCCCGCCGATCGATCTGAAAATGGAAACTGCATGTCAGATTTTGGTCCATGGGGCACACAAGTTCCATCTGCCTTCGCACGATAAGTGTATAGAGCAGATTGGCTTACAGTCGATTTGATACATAAATATCCGCCGCCTTAATAGCCCTCGGGAGCAGACGCCATGCTAGTTGCTCTGTACTGGACACCGCATGGCTCCTTCCTGACGCAGCACTAAGCACTTCCTTCCTCCTCGGCAGGCAAGCACCGCCTGACAGGGCACCTTCCAACTTCAAGTTCGAAGAGCAAACTCTTCATGACAGGCGTTTTGTCGCCTGCAACTACATGTCATAGAATCAAGAACAATTTGCCCGCCACATCACAACGCCTACTTGACACTCATCTTACATTATGCGCCGCCAATCTGAGCGCCCCCGTGGCCGCACCCTCAAAACTTATTCGAAGAAACCCCAGAGCCGCAGGTCCCTTGGCGCAGAAATATACCGCGACTTGACGGCTGGCAATAACTCTAGGGTTTCGAGCGGCGACGAATCATCCATCCGGGGAACTCCACCTATTGTCGGTCATCGCACCCCTTCAGCATCGTAAGTTATCCACGAGCAGAATTTGGGCCTGAAGACTGACAGTATGAAGGTTTCAAAGGGATGAAGAGAGCTTGCCTAAGACCAAGGAGAGTATCGCACTTACACCCGAAGAAACACACCATGACAGAGTTCAGCGTACCAAAGACCCCTATCACATTCAGACCTCGTCCATCAGCCTAGAAGAAGCTTCATCGCAAGATGATGACGATTCATCATCGAGGGACCAGCAGTCGCAATCCGATAGCTCGCCAAATTTGGGCGTCACATCCGTCGGACGGGGCGCTACACACTCGGCCATCAAAACGGAACCACGAGACTCGCCTGAGGCCTTTCCCGATGCGATGGACCGGAGTCGTGTTCCACAGCTTCATACTAAAACTGAAGGCTCTCCATTTCAGAGGCGGAAAAGAAAGAGAGCAGAGTCTCCCTTTGGGTCTGACTTCTTGGTGGCCCACCAGCCGCGACGGTTTAACCAACAAGAAGGTAAGTGACGTCGATGCGATGCTATAAAGATATGCTGACATTGCCGTAGCTTGGAAGGAACCTGATACTTCAAAGAAACGAAGTCTTCCCGTTGTTTTCGGCCCTAGAACGCCTAGTCCCGTCAAGATGCAGGGGCGCCGGAAGGTTGCAGAGATACACCCACAAGATTATAAAGTGTTGCTATCTGCGTCCCCAGTGATGCCGACCCTTCAGCGGGGTGTTCGAGACGGATTCGAACGCCGCGAGGTTCCGAAGTTCAGCAAACAATATTTCGATGGCAAGCGGCGAAGAAGGCCACCCCCAACACCCGGCCTTGGGTCGCTTCTGAGTGCCGAGAAATCGAGGGAGGTAGCTATTCTTAAGGAAGGACCAGGAACTAGAAAGACAGTGTCAGATCCCGCCAACGCGTATCTCATGTCGGGGGAAATACTGGACGAGCCTCAGGAAGTATCTCGCACAGAGTCGATGGCCTCTTCCAGCAATCGGAACGCTGATGTACGGCCTTCCGTCGAACGGCTTGCCAGTCATGTCTCCCACTCGGGCAACCCACACGACGATGGCAACCTCGAGAATGATGGAGCTGTGAGCAAAAATACCGGCATGGAGATGAGTCTGTCACATCTAATCACCAAGGCCAGGCCCTTTGAATTTTTGAGAACGCGAGACAGCAAATAGTATCATGAGAAAGGCGCAATTTGTGGAAGACAGATGGAATATCGGAGAAGAAAAATGATTGCACTACGTCAAAGAGCTAATGGCAGCCAACCTCCAGACAAAGAGCTCGATGCAGATAGATTTGCACAATCATTGCGGCTTCGCGCCTAATACAAGAGGTATCTTCTGATATAATACATACCAGGCTTTTCCGTAACCCTCCCGGTCCGTGAAAACGAACTTGCTTGCATATGGAAACCGCCTCAAACGCCATGCGCCACAGAATCCCTCGAATATCAACAGGTGATTCAAGCATTGAAGTCAATCATTTCGCGCCCTTGGGCTTGGCCTCCGCGTCACCAAGCTCGCGGACGAAAACGCTGGCCTTACCCTCGGCGCTGTAGTCCTCCATGCCTGTCTCGAAGCCGGGACAGACGCCGATGGCGAGATACTTGCCGTCCTTGGAGAACGCAAGCGCAGCAACGCTGTCGGGGAACTTTTGGTACTGCTTCATCCTGCGCTTGGCCTCGGCGTCCCAAAGCGCAACGGTGCCGTCGCCACCACCAGAGGCAAAGGTGCCATACACCGGGTGGAAGATCATGGCGTTGACCGGGTAGACAATGTCGCCCTCGCCCTCGGCGGGCGCAGCTTGGCGATGGCACTTGAAGGCGTACTTGCGCGCCTGCGACTCGGCTGAGTCCTCGAACCACTCAACGGCGACACGCCCCTCGATGCTGCTGGTGGCGTAGCCGGCGTCGTTGGGCATGCAGGAGACGGCGCGGGTCAGGAACTTGAGGGAAGACTCGCGCTGCTGCCAGGGCTTGATCTCGTGGGGTCCGGGCTGCGAAAAAAGGGCGGGCACGGCGCTGATGTCGTAGATGTTAACCAGACGGGCCGTCATGGCGACGACAACCTTGGACGGGCTGACGGCCAGGGCGTGAGGCTTGCCCGGCAAGTGGACAGTAATGTTCGGGTCGGAGGGGGACTTTGCGTTGTGGATTTGCAGGGTCTGGTCCCAGGACGCGGAGATGAGCAGGGCTGCAGGGCGTGTTAGCTGGGCTGTGTGACGGAAAGGGGCTGTGACGTACAGTGCTCCTGGCTGTACGCGACGCATCGCGCGGGCGCGGTATGTTGGGAGACTACGGACTTCTCTCCCGACTCCAGATCGACCCTGTCATGATCCGTCAGCAGGGCGCTCCTCCAGGAACGTTCAATTGCCGTCGTACCGGTAAACACAGTGGTCCAAGCACGCCGTGTAGGCCTCGTTGTCTGTCGCGCCGAAGCATACGTCAAGGACGGGGGCGCGGAACTCGACGGTCGTAATCAGAGTGCCCTGCGCATCTTCGCTGCCGCTGTGTGTGTCGTAGAGGTAGATTTTTTTGTCCCAGCACGAGACGAGTAGCCTGGTAGGTGAGTCGGGCGCATACGCGAGCGCGGAGATGGCATCGCTGGGCGGCTGCGCCAGCTCGAATTGGGATGCTGCCTGGCTGTCAGTCCTTTGAGTCGTCTCGCAGAGTCATATACGCCCTCAGCACTTACCAGGTGCCATGTTGACGTTGTAAATCGGACCAAGCTGCAGCTCTTGACCTCTACGGAGCTAGGATGGGAGCTTCGGTGTGATGTTTACATTGGCAAACTGGTTGGAGGGGCGCTCACGTGTCGATAAGCGAAGAAGCAGCTTATCGGGCGAATCAGCGCCATTTTTGCCGGGGACCACCGCCCGCGGGCCGCACCCCCACCATTGTCGGATTTCTGCGATTTTGTGAACCGCAAAGTAGCAAAATTGTGACTCGATCGCCCAATCACCAACGCAACTCTGCTCACCCAAAGAGGCCAACTTTTTCGACGCCGCCCCGAGCAATCGATCCGTACCCCGCGTCAGCGACTCGAACCCACGACGACAAGGCAGAATATCCCGCCGAGCACAGAGGAAACAAGCTGTCTCCCAGAGCAACTTGTAGGAACGTGTAAAAAGCCCGCGCGCCTCCCATCGCACCCCGCCCCTCCACACCTCTCTCGATACCTTCGACTCCCCCGTCGACCACCACCACCACCAAACACAACGCCCTCGACGACTTCGAGAACCAGCAGTCAAGATGGCGGAACCGAACTACAGCCACTTTCGATACTTCGAAAACAAGTATCCCGAGATCGACGAGTTCGTCATGGTCAACGTCAAGCAGGTTAGTCGCCCCGCTGCCCAACGCACCACCACATCGGACCCGATACAGCCGCCGGCCCCCGTTTGGAGGAGATGATGGAGCAACGCCGTCTGACAGGAGGATAGATTGCCGAGATGGGTGCCTACGTCAAGCTCCTCGAGTACGACAACATTGACGGCATGATTCTGCTTTCCGAACTCTCGAGACGTCGTATCAGAAGTATCCAGAAGCTCATTCGCGTCGGCCGCAACGAGGTCGTTGTTGTCCTCCGTGTCGACAAGGAGAAGGGATACATCGATCTCAGCAAGCGCCGTGTGTCGCCGGAGGATATTATCAAGTGCGAGGAGCGGTACAACAAGGGCAAGATGGTCCACTCCATCATGCGCCACGTTGCCGAGAAGACCCTCACCCCCATCGAGCAGCTTTATGAGACTATCGCATGGCCCCTGAACAAGAAGTACGGTCATGCGATCGACGCCTTCAAGCTGTCCATCACGTAAGTTGGATCCAAAGAGTCCGTTCAGCTGGCACAATCACTGACCAAACCGGGCGCAGCAACACCGAGGTCTGGAACGACGCCACCTTCCCCAGCGAGCCTGTCGCCGAGGAGCTCAAGTCATATATCGCGAAGCGTCTCACCCCTCAACCCACCAAGGTCCGTGCCGACGTCGAGGTCACATGCTTCGGATACGAGGGTATCGACGCCGTCAAGACCGCCCTGCGTGTCGCCGAGTCCCGCAACACCGAGCAGACCCAGGTCAAGGTCAGGCTCGTGTCCCCGCCCCTGTACGTCCTCACCAGCACATGCTTGGACAAGAACCTCGGTATCACTCGCCTCGAGGAGGCCATTGTCGACATCCGGAACAGCATCGAGGCGGCCGGCGGCTCGCTGGTCGTCAAGATGGAGCCCAAGGCCGTCACCGAGAGCGATGACGCCGAGCTGCAGGCCCTTATGGAGAAGAGAGAGCGTGAGAACGCCGAGGTCAGTGGTGACGAGAGTGTCTCGGAGAGCGACGACAACCCGGAGGTTTAGATTTCAACGGTCAAGGCAAACAAAAAAGGGGGCGGCTGGTAGAATGAGCGTACTGGCAGCTGGGAATCCGGAGTGATTCTAATGAGACGACCAAAAAAAAGTACCCATTACTTCACGTGTTCCCCAGGGTGTCATGAGTGCGGAAAAAGTGCTGCCTACGTTGGCGGGCCATTGTTATCGGGCATCGCAAGTCGGCGCGAGGCTGCCCAACATGAAGGCGTTGGGAAGGATCCGGGTCGAGCTGTTGGGTATGATGACGGCATGAGCAACGATGAGGGATTCCCCAAAGATAGCACGCATTATTCCAATAGACCCCGGCGTTGACAATACATCATAGGCGTTTAAACAAAACATCTACATGGGACAATGACAACAAAATGATCTCTATATGCTCGGTCTAGTATGGAATCTAATGCAGAGTTCCTCTTCTACTGCTTGCTGAAGCTTCCCTCGGTCCACCCGCCATCAACGTACCATGTGGCTTTATTGACGAACCTCCCCTCCGGCCCGAGTAGAAATGCGATCGACGCCGCAACCTCCCAGGGTTCGGCCAGACGTCTAGTCAGGCACGGCTGGTCCTCCGCGGTAAGCCAGAATTGCCCGCTAGGGCTGTTGAACGGCTTGTGCATCATGTCCGTGTCGATGCAGCCCCTGAGTGAGTGGTTCAGTGAATTGTCCCGTCTCGAGTGAGTCCAAAAGGGGGCACTTACGGACACAGGGCGTTCACGCGGATGCCTCTATTCGCACCCTCGAATGCGGCCACCTTGGTTATGCCTAGAAGAGCATGCTTGCTGGAGACGTAGGCTGAGACGCCCGCCGAGGCGTAGTTGCTCGTGATGCTGCCGACGTTGACGATGCTGCCGCCGTCCTTCATGTTGCGCATCTCCTCCTTCATGCAAAGGAAGGTGCCAAAGACATTGGTTACGAGGATTTCCTTGAAGTACTCCTTGGGTAGGTCCGTAATGGGAAAGATCTCTCGTTGCTCACGGGCTATTCATGTCAGTTGCTTTCCGACGCTTCGAGAGAAGGGGATACAGACCAGCAACATTTGCCGCCCCGTCCAGCTTGCCAAACTTTTCGACAGTCTCATCGATCCAGACCTTGACCATGTCATGCTCCTGGATGTCGACGACCTTGGTCATGACTCTGCCCTTGACATCGGGAATGTCCTTCTCGATGCCTTCCAGCGCCTTGGCGAGGTTCTCCGCTGTGGTGGCGCACATGGACACCTTGGCGCCGCGGATGAGGAGGTAACGAGCCAGGGCAAGACCCGTGCCGCGGCTGGCGCCCGTCACCGCGATGACCATGTCCTTGAAGGGGTAAGGGTCCGCCATCTTGTGTTCTCTTTGTCTGGAGAGGGAGGGGAAAAGGGGGGCGCCGCGGGAAGAGAGAAATGATATGTGATTAGCGGGGCGCTCGGCAGAACAATGTGATACTCAGCCGAAGAGATCTCGGGGACCTGGCAGCGGCAAGAATCAAGGGTGTAAGGAGAAAGGGGGAATGATCTGGCCTGGGAACGAGGGAGGGAAACGGAAAGAGTGTGAAGACGAGATGGGAATCATTAAATCCTCGAAATGGTACGTGGTCTGGACGATCCCGCCTCCCCGGACGGTTGTCGCGACCCATGAACCACATTCCGATTTCGTGGTGGATGTTTGCAACTCGACCCTGGTCTTTGCTAGCCAAGAGACTCATGATCCTGGGGTCGACGGCATATGCATGGGGGACCCAGATGGAACTGGTGCAAGCACTCTATCGACTGTTCTGTCTACCGGTCTGTCGAAGAAGAGGAGGTTGCGAGACATGAAGCGTTCGCAGAGGACTTGCGAAGCGCGAGAACGCTGGACGCCGCCAATCATAAGCCTGCTGCTCCAGAAGCATTTTCCTAAATAGTCAACGGTGTTACATTGCACCTGTACAGACGGCCGAAGCAACTGGTACTGCTTAATCGACCGCGCCTATGTGCTTGGCTCTCACATCTTCTCAATGTCGTCGCTGAGTCAAGGCCGTCAGGAGAACAGCCGGGCAACGAACCCCGCGCCTTGCTTGCCATTCTCAAATTCAAACCGACCCCGTCTTGTGTTGTCCGATGGTCTATGGGAGAAAAGAAGTGGCCTCTCTCCTCCTGGCGGCGGAGCACAACCCCGGCTCGAGGTGCATGAACCCCCCGGCTCCAACGGCATAAGCCAACGTCTGGACGTCCTCCATCAGCCAACCACACATCCTGCTGGTCTCATCACACCGTACATCGAAGCAAACATGACCACCTAATCGGTGCAACTCCCGTGGTACATCAAAATCTGGCTCGATGTCCGTCGTAGGATAATCTACTAGACGCTCTAGTTGCTTGCTTCCACATATAATCCCCAGAACGCCAGCCAGTGCGAAAACTACACAACACTCGCAAACACTACCGAGATTCAAGATGCGGCAGGCAGGCTATCTCGCCCTCCATCGCAGAGCATGCGAGGTCCCCGATGCGGTGACTCGAAATGGGTGGCTTGCTGATCATTCGGTGGGAGTTCCCGAGTCTCTGGCTTTCGCATTGTTCTCGCAAACAATGGCAAAACCTTTCCATTATACTCTGAACAGTCTAGGAAGAGGGGGCGAACGATTGGCAGATAACGGTCTCGAACGCCTCATCGGAGGACTAGAGAAGCAATCATGGCTTGGCCTCCTATTTTCTTGCCTCGCTTTAAACACTCCGTGATATCCACTGTGGTGTTGATAGTCACGGCCCCCAAATCCTCCAAAGGGAACACAGCCTGCAGCTTGTCCTGACCGTTTTGTATTGCACCACTTGAAGAAAGAATCACGCAATGGATTTGCCATGGACTGCGCCAGTACCGCCGGGCGAGGTGCGGACGGAGGTGAACCCGCCGACCCTGAAGGTGAAGCTGTACTCGTGGGCGTTTGTGACGACGTTCATCGCGGGGACAACGGTTGGGCTGCGAATCTTTACGAGATTCTACGTCACGAGAACGCCGTTGAATACCGATGACTGTAAGCTGTCTCCTCAAAGAAGCTCTGCTGGTGTCTAACCTCACCGGCAGACCTCATTGTCATATCGTTGCTATTCGCCATTTCGACGATTGTCGTGCTCTTCCAGCGTAAGTCTCCGAAGCCCTCAGACGCAGGCCACGCTAACCATCCCCAGAGGTCGAAGTCGGATTAGCACATCACATGTGGGATATCCTCTGGGACGTGTACAACGTCCACAACACTGGGGTAAGCGCAGACTCCGTTGATAGTGTCAGGGTAACCGGTTGCTAACCTTTGAGTGTAGTGGACAATTGCCGCGACAATCGTGTATGCCCTCAGCATCAGCTTCTCCAAGCTGTCCATTCTCTTCTTGTACCTGCGTCTGTCGCCGCAGGTATGGTTCCGACGGGGCGTCTTCTTCCTCATCGGACTGGTCGTCAGCTACTCCATCGTCTACGTCCTCATCAACATCTTTGGCTGCACACCGATCAGAGCCGGCTGGGACCTCAACATTGTGGAAAAGACTTGCGTGGACAAGTTCTCCATCTACCTGTCCCTCAGCATCGCCAACATCGCCATGGACGTCTTGATCCTGCTGCTTCCCATCCCCGTGGTTGTGCCGCTGCAGATGGCCAGGAGACAAAAGTTCTCCATCATCCTCCTCTTTGGAACAGGTGTCTTGTCAGTGCTCCGTCCCCTGAAACGACACTCCCGAGATGTTTGCTGACAAGTCTCAACAGTGTCTGTGGCGTGGCCACCAAGCGGACCGTCCATCTCCCTAAGCTGCTTGCAAGCCCGGACTATACCTGGGAAGCCGTCGAGGCGTTCATCTGGGGCTACCTGGAGCTCAATGCGGGCATGATCTGTGCCTCCGTGCCGGCGCTGAAGCCCTTCTTCATGCGGTACCTCCCGTCCTTCATCACCTCCCGACTCGGCAGCAGCAAGCGCGGGGGATCATCGCTGAACAAGTCCTCCAAGTCGCGCCTCAACACTGTCGTGGCACAGAACATGGAGCGTCGACGACGCCAGGATGAATCGTACGAGCTCAGCTCGACGGACGGCAAGAGGGACGGCGTCGAGGACGACGAGACAAAGCTGTGGTCGGGGTACCAGAAAAATGTCAAGGCTGCCCTTGGTGGCCATGCTCGCGAGACTTCGAGGCAGGTCGACGATAACAGCAACAGCAGCGTGGACACGCTGGGTGAGATGACGGGCCCGCGCAGGGGTGACAGGACCGTTGTTGTGTCGGCTGAGAGCAGTGCGCCAGGTGGGTGCGGTGAGGGATCGAACGGCATCATGGTGCGCCGCGAGACGACTGTGCAGCACGGCGCCTAGGCGTGCTCAGAGCATCGATCTGTTTGGATGTGTTGATAAAAGTTGTTGGCTTCTTTCTCTAGTCGGTGTCATGGAGGCGTGTCCAGGCGGAGATTGTTGGGAAGGGAAGCCGCTCCGTAGGCTCAAGGACATGTAATCATAATATTCTGTCCATCCACTTGCTGTTTGACTTGTGAGTCTGGTGCTGTTATGCTTTGGACCCATCTTAGAGTTGGCAGCTCTTCAGAAGACGGATGCGAGGACTTCCTCCATCTTGTAGCGAAATGAAATATGTGGGTAAAGTCGACGAGCACGACTTCATGCACAGCTGGCCATGGTATGTCTACTTAGTCGCTCAACGCACATTTGTAACAACTTTCAAGTCGAGAGACTGTCGGATGTAGTAAGGATGAAGGATTAATGCAGGAGGAAGACCGCAGAATGATTAAGGTACATGATATGATAAGCGTAGCTGATAAGATAAGATAAGAAGGTGGGATGACATCCAATCGAAAGTTTCGCCAAATAGAATACAACTGGGAAAGCTTCAGCAACCACCTCACCACACGCAGCCACCGTCGCGCCCATGAGCTTCCGATCGCTATGGGCGCGCGCACGAGGGAGCTTCCTCGGTGACACGGCAATCCGCCTGGTCGGCATTGCGACCTGGATCCCCGTCGTCATCTGGTTCAACGACCATGTCGCGACTGTGACAAAGATCAGCGGCGCCTCCATGTACCCGTACTTTAACGAGGACCGCAACAGCACCATCATCCGCGACCTGGTACTGAACTGGAGGTGGCACGCGAACGAGGACCTCAGGAGGGGCATGATTGTCACCTTCAGGTGCGTTGCTTGCGCATTGCCGACGCACTGGGTCATGACAAGCTAACACTGCAGCGCAACAGGAGCCCGTTTCACCCAGAGACCGTCGCCGTGAAGAGAATCATCGCCCTGGAGGGAGACCATGTCAAGACACGGCCACCGCACCCCCAGCCGATGGTCAGGGTGCCGCAGGGCCACATCTGGGTCGAGGGCGACGGCCCTGCGGACCAGACACTGGACAGCAACACTTACGGCCCCATATCCATGGAATTGGTGACGGGAAAGATTGTGTGGTTCTTGTACCCCTTCCGCAAGTTTGGAAGGACGAAGTGGGAGGACTTTAAGATGAAGCCGCGGGAGTGATCTAAGTGTACTGAGAGCAAGGCTTCTCTCAATGTGTATAACAGTAACTGTATCCCTACTTGACTCATCGGAAATGTAATCGAGTTTCCCACACGACCTCTGACGCTGGCACATTGTTCATATGCCGCCGGCGGGTGCTGATCCGCGTCCCCCTCGGAGGTCTCGGCAGCGCCCGACGCCAAAAGGCCGACGCCTATCGGTCTAGCGCCGGCCGCAGCTGAAATGCTTAGGTGACTCGAACTCGCGGTGACGCAGCGGGACAGGTGGACCGCTGCTGCGGCATGTGGCCCGTGCTCATCCAACAAAAATTCCAGAAGCCCGGGAACCCTGCGAAATTTCATTATCATTGATGCGTTGGACCTCGCCGCCGCCAAGTTTTTTGCCCGCGCAATAAACCCACGCGACGACCAGAATCGACGGGGAGGCCTCTCTCCTCGCCCTTGCTCTTATTCCCCCCTCTCAGCCTCGACACGGCGTCGTTGTTCCCTCCCTGGGCACCACCGACTGCCCCCACGAGACCTCGAACAAAAACCGCAGACGTCACCGAGACCGATCTCCCTCGACGACCACTGACCGGAGAGAACCTGGTGCCGACTGCGACAGACGCACCCGCAAATGTCTGTCGCTGACCGCCTCGTCAGCTACTTTGCTCCGGCCGACAACAGCGCGCGAACGATTCAGGGGGAGCTTGCGGTTTCCAACCCGGCGGCGGCGGCTTCAATTGCGGGGGATAGTCATGCCGGACAGACGGGAGGACTCTTGCCGGATATCAAAATCAGCGGACAACCACTCGTTCAGGATATGGGGCAGGGACATGGAGATCTCGAAGAGGAGGGCCGCCCGCCCTACTTCCACGCCATGATTGCCGGAGGTCTCGGGGGCTCGACGGGAGATATGCTCATGCACTCCCTGGACACAGTCAAGACGCGCCAGCAGGGCGATCCGCACATCCCGCCAAAGTACACATCACTGGGGTCGTCATACTACACGATATGGAGGCAAGAGGGCATCAGGAGAGGTCTTTACGGCGGGTGGGTGCCGGCATTGGGCGGATCGTTCCCGGGCACCATGCTATTCTTTGGCACATACGAATGGAGCAAGCGGTTCCTCATCGATCATGGCCTGCAGCACCATCTGGCGTATCTTACAGCAGGTGAGCTTTCGTGCTTGGGGAAGGAGAACCAAAGACTAATTGATCTATCCAGGCTTGCTGGGAGACTTTGCCGGTTCCATCGTTTACGTTCCGTCCGAAGTGTTAAAGACCCGCATGCAGCTGCAGGGACGCTACAACAACCCTTATTTCAAGTCAGGGTACAACTACAAGGGCACGATTGACGCCGCAAGAACCATCGTCCGCCACGAGGGTCCGGCTGCGCTCTTTTACGGCTACCAGGCGACGCTCTACCGCGATCTCCCCTTTTCAGCGCTGCAATTCATGTTTTGGGAGCAGTTTCACGCCTGGGCCCGCCAGTACAAGCAGAGCAGAGACATTGGCGTGCCTCTGGAGCTTTTGACTGGCGGTCTGGCAGGCAGTTTGGCCGGCGTAATGACGTGTCCTCTCGACGTCGTCAAGACACGGCTGCAGACACAAGTGCATCCCGACCTGTTGCCCAAGGAGAACAAACCGGCAGCCAAGGGCGCGGCGCACATCTCTGCGGCCAAGTCCCAGACGCGCAACATCTCAACGTCGTCGCCGTCAACGCACACACCGCGACCCGGCGCGGTGAACCTGCAGACGTCCTCCGTCATCACCGGCCTCAAGGTCATATACCACACGGAAGGCATCAGCGGGTGGTTCAGGGGTGTTGGTCCCCGTGGCGTTTGGACCTTTATCCAAAGCGGCACCATGCTGTTCTTGTACCAGCGTATTCTCAAGCAATTAGAGGTTTGGGACAGCGCTGCAGAGAGGGAAAGCAGCATTTGAAGAGCCGACGGTCGGCCTACTGGTGGAGGTTTGGCGGGGAGTTGGATGAGGGAAACATGTACAAACACTTCCATCTGTACACTTACGGACTTAAACATGGGACGGCGTTTGATGGCATAGTAGAAGGGCGTGGAGTCCCATAGAGCCGATAGAGCAAAGACACTGTCCACTTTATAACGACCACCTGATTATTCCAAGTGGCTTGATGTGAAGGCTGCAAAGAGACAATGAGATGCATGTGAAACCAGCTTATCGTGTAGACAGCTGAAATGCAGCCTGCAGGTACCTGCCCCGCTGGGCCTTAGTGCCCCTGAACCCCTGTCCCTGGCCCGCTAACGCCCCTGTGACGACAGAAGGGAGCTTTACGCGGGGTGTCTTATAGCTTTCTTCCAGCTCCAAAATTTCAAACCTCAAAACGCGCCGCGCGACATCGTCTCATAGCTTCATTCACGCACCTTATCCCCACCACAGCATCACCCCGACTCGAAGCGCGCACTCACTGATATAGTACTTTCGAAACACACCTCTGCACCAAGGCAGCCGTTCCAATGGCCTCCGATGCAGGCACCCCTCCCCCTCCAAGGGAGCCTACTCCAGGCGGCTCCCTGCCCTCTTCGACCGCCGTTCCATTGAAGCGACCTGCTCTCGAAGAAGACTTTACACCCTCGGTTCCCTCTCCTCTCAACCCAGACGTCAGATCTACACCGAAACCACCAGGCGCAGACGAGATGCCGGCGAAGCGCAGCAAGAAGGAGACGCTGAAGAAGCGCGAGTCCAAGGGTGTCAGCGACAGCAACCGTGGCACTCCTGACCCGAAGCATAAGGAGCCGAAGCAGAGTGACTACAGTCCCATGCGCTACAAGCTGGCGCCGCCCAAACCCTCCGATTTTGAGCCTGCGAAGCCCCCAATCTTCATCCACCACCATGACGTTCCTGCCCTCGACGGAAGCCAGGTCCAGTTCTACGAGACTTCAGAGCAGTAGGCCTCCTCCTCGCCTTGCTGCGCCAGGCACGACTAACGGCTCGATAGTGTACATAACAAGAAAAGCTATCACTACACCCACTGCATCGCGGACCCCGAGTTCCCCTCGTCGCTCTACTACCGCGGCACGGAAGCGGAGCCCTTCGGTCCCCATCTGGCGTTCGAGGACAGCGCGACACACCTCTTCTTTGACCAGTCTGGTCGCCATATAACGACCGAGAAGGGCTTCCGCATGACGCGCGCGAATGTGGCGATCCGAGAGGGTCGCTTCTACTGGGAGGTCAAGATCACGAGGGGCATGGTCGACAAGAAGGACGGCGAGGACAAGCCCGAGTCGCATGGCCACGTGCGCATGGGATTCGCGAGACGAGAAGCGTCAGTGGACGCCCCCGTTGGGTTCGATGCCTACAGCTACGGTTTCAGAGACGTTGGCGGCGAGAAGGTGTACATGTCGCGGCCAAAGGCCTTCTTTCCCGAGGGCGAGGGTATCCGAGAGGGAGACGTCATCGGCCTGGAGATTCAGCTGCCCTCGGAACGATTGCAGAGAAAGGTACTGGCCGGTCAATACAACCCGGCCGTGGACACGGGCATCGACGACGATAGCTTGGCCTTCGAGGCTCCGAACATTGTCCGCGACCGCATCCCGATCCGCTTCAAGTCGCACATCTACTTTGAGAAGATCGACTACCACACCACCAAAGAGCTCGAGGACCTCATGAACCCCTCGCCTGTGTCTTCCGGACCCGCCAACTCTGTCGAGGCGCCTCACCCCAACCACCCCGTCCCCGCCCTCCGAACGCTGCCACACTCTCACATCAAGGTGTACAAGAACGGCATCGACATGGGCACGGCCTTCCACGACCTCCTCGCGTTCCTCCCGCCAGCATCGAAGCCGCAGTCTAACATTGGCGCGCGCGATGGCCTGGACAACGGCATGCTTGGTTACTACCCCGCCGTCAGCGTTTTCAGGGGCGGTGCCGCCGAGGTCAACTTTGGCCCCGACTTTTGGTACCCTCCTCCAGGCATCGCGGGTCCGGCCGACGACGTGGACATGGTCAACGGCGGGCAGGATGAGACCAAGAAGTTCGACTATCCGGCCCTGGACGAGATCCGACCGGTGTCGGAGCGGTACACGGAACAAATCGTGGAGGACATCGTCTACGACATCATCGACGAGGTCGACTTTTGGGTCCAAGACGGCTGCAAGATCATTGACCGCTTCGGCCAGGGCGAGAAGGCCGGTCAGACGGGTATCGCGCCCACGGGTCGCGACGAGATCAAGGAATTGGTGCAGGATGATTAGGCATCATCTGTGCGATGGAAGAAGTCTCAGCGATGAGACTCTCGCTTGCTTACGAGATACCCGACTTTGCTTCTTGCGTTGTAATCCACAGTTGTACATTATACTATAAAATGGGCGGGAGGCTTGGGACGGTCCTTTCTACATAATAGCCTCTATTTTCCTAAAGCCCGGGGGGCCCCAATACGAAAAACGAATTCATTCCACAGTCGTTCATAGCCCTCGTGATATCTCAGCTTGCTAACTCATCATGCGTCCGTTCATGCTCTTTGCAAACCAAACGTTGCGGTCGTGAGAAAAGAAAAAATCTAGTCATCATTCATTCATTGGCGGAATCACTTCCGTGTCGCCCTCCTCCGTACAGACTCGGGCGTCGTTCTTCCCGAGTCCCTGCCGCTGCGTCGGCTGCGTTCGCTCCTCTCGCTCCGCGGCCTATCAGACCTAAGAGGCTCCGTTCGGGAGCGGGAGGGACCCGGCAGGGCTGGGTCATCGGGCAGCTCCTCGATACGGCCGCTGCCATCGATAATCTCGGGCGCGTTCTCGCGCTTAATGCGCTCCTCGCGGCCGCGCTTGTGGCAGTACCACAGGACGAAGAGAAGGACTGTGGCGTGTTAGTATCTGGACTGTTCATGAATCAGACTGGTGCACTTACGGAATAGCGCGACCGAGATGATCGCATTAGTGCCGATAAAGGCTGGCCATCTCAGCTTCAGCGCGTTAACGATGGCCTTGAGCATGCCCACCACGGCACCCGGCTTGGTGACCAGGTCCGAGAGGGTGGCCGGCGTGAACATCTTCTTCGCGGCGCCCTTGACGCCCTCCTCCGCGGTGACCTCGGCGGCCTGCATGCCCTGGCTCTTCGCCGCGGCCGCCAGGACCTCCGGGCCCAGACTGGCGGTGAACTTGTCGGGGAGGTTCGTGACGAGCTTCTTCATCCCGTTGGGCAGCTTGTCGAACGACTTCTTGATCGTGCCGTCCTTGTCCTCCACGAGCCTCTTGATGTCGTCGACGGCGGTCGGCACGCCGTTGACCAGGTCCTTGAGGGCGAGAGTGAACTGCCGGACCAGCTCCGAGGACTCTGCCGACAGCGGGATGGCCTTGTTGTTCTTGGCGGAGAGGTTGAGGTCGTCGAGCACGCGCGACAGGTCGTCCTTCTCCCTCGCTTCCTCGTCGGCCGGCACGGCTGTGGGCTTCACCGGCGCGAGCTGCTTGTCCTTGTCGTCGCCCTTGACCTTGGAGAACAGAAACGCGATCTTGCTGGGCTTCTTGCCCTCGACCTTGGGGTCGACCGCCACCGTGGCCGCCTTCTTGGGGGCTGCCGCCTGCTGACTCGGGGCGGTCCGCCGCGATTCGTCCGACTCCCACATGTACTCTGGTGTCTTGGTGCGCGGAGGCAGAGGCGGGCGGAGGCTCTCGTCGTCAGAGTCCGCAGCGTCCGGGTCGGACAGGATGCGTCTGAAAAAGTCTTCATCTCTGCGGTCTAGCACCGGTGCTGGCCCGCCATGGGTGCGGTCGGTGGCGGCGCTACCTGCGGGCGACAGCGAGCGGGAGCTGGTCTGGCGCCGCGACGGCGACGGTCGTGATGCTGGGTGTTGCTGCTGCGGGGTTCCGACGTTGCTGCCACTATCGTGCTCTCCGGCGGCCTCCTTTGCGTCCTTCTCCGTCTTGTACTTTTTGTACTGCTTGTAGCCAAAGTATTCCAGCATCGTGGGCGAGTGTGTGCTGGTATGAGTTGTGGACTGGCAAAGGTGAGGGGTTGAAAGGATGGCGCTCGTAGAAAGCGAGTCGTCGAAAGTTGGCGGTCGGACCGGTGGTTTTATTCGATGGCCAAGCGTCTTTTTTTGTTCTGAATCACATGTGGTGCTAAGTTGTCTGGGCCCTGGTTCTGGTTCTCGGGCGTGTATCATGCCTTGTGAGAGCTCAGGTGTGTTTAGCCACAGGAAGACCATGGTTGGGTGGTAGCCGTTGGGGTAGCTTGCACCGCCACACGTGATGTCACCACAATGCCATCTGATGATCATTCATGCCCATCGATTGGAGCCCTCCAGCGCAACGTCAAACAACCGCATGTAAGCGAGCCCGGCTGTTGGGGCCGCGACTCCACTAAGGGTCTTGCACCGCCACACTTTCATCGGAGGCCCCTCACCGGCGCATGTCGCCTCACCCTGCCGAGAACCGTTCGTCCTTGTAAAAATTGCCAGCGCAAACTCATGCAGCGCCTGGCTCGTCCAATGCATTGATTGACAGCTGTCTTGGAGCTATGGCAGGGCAATAGTTGGCAGTACTAAGCCACCAACACGGGGTATCTATCGTAGAAACTGCTCGTCGCATCCAAAATGTCGTCTTCACTCCGAGTCCTCCTCGCTCTCTCCGCCTGCCCCGTTTTCCTGCATGGACTCGTCTGCCGCATTACTCTTGCGCCCACTGGGACCACTTCTCCGGCGGCCCCTCTGGTAGGCCTCTGTGCTGGTTACGGCCTTCTCGCCGACGAACAGCCCGCCGTCCCAGTCCTTCGAGCATCGTGGACATTTCTGACTGCGTTGTGTGCGCCAGTATGCCCCCTCGCAGGTATCGTGCAGCCGCGCGTTGCAGTCGACATTCGTGCATCTCTGCCCAATGGTGACGACCTCCTTACACGCCTCGCAGAACTTGATGCGCTGCCACTCCTCCGCCGCCGCGTCTGGGTCATTGTATGAGTCGACGAGCATTCCCCTAAGCTCGAGCAGCCCCCGCGGGCTGAGAGTGTAGAAACCGTCTCTGGACTTCTCCAGCCAGCCCTGGTTCACCAGATTCACGAGCATGTCCTCCACCTCGCTGTGTTTCAATCCCTTGTCTGCAGCAGACTGCGTCGCCGCCTCGCCATTCTCGTCATTGTTGTTCTGCCGCGGGGGCCGAGCGAGCTTGATCGCTTGCATGTCAGTGATAGCCATGACTTCCATGCGTTGCGAGTTATAGGTCTCGAACAGGGCGTCCAGCAGTCTCTTAATGAAAGCTATTTGCTCGGCATTGTAGGTCGTCGCCAGCTGTGTCATCGGGTCGGAGGCGGTGTTGACGAGGGCGTATATGCGCTTCTTAGACACTTGGTGGACGGTGCTGCGGATTTCGTAGTCGAAGAAGGACACGGCTTCGGCGGCCGCGCTCACGTACGAGTCAAAGTCGTCTCTAGTGACCTGGTCGGGCGTGACTTCCTCGCCATCTTCGGCCTCGATCGTGAAAATGGCTGCCAGAATGGACTGGGCCTCTTCAAACGTAAGGGTGCCGCGGGCGAGAAACGCCTGGAGAAAGGCTTGGTTGCCGTGGTTGTAGTGTTCTGGGACGATGGGCATGTTGGCGGAATGAGGAACTGGACTGCCGCGCGCCGGCCCTGGTATCGTAAAAAGATGTAGTAGTATGCGAGGCGCGAATCAGATAAAAGACTAATGCGGTAAAGTTGCTGAAGAAGCTATCGCACGTGCGGGAGTGATGTCGTGGGGGAGGGGGAATTTTCGAGGACGCGACTCACACGCGTTTCCTACGGGCAGAAATTAATTGAAAAGAAGCTCTGGCTGGAGCTCGACGGCCCCACCAATCGACCAACACGGTGCACCGCTCGCTGAGGAAGGCGGCGTGGGGCCCCTACCGAGCCACACCACACGGTGGCTGGATCAGCGGGCTCTGAGCCTGAACCTGGAAGGCAGCATCGCCGGAGATTTCTTCTTTGGCTGGTGCGGGCAGGGGCTCTCCGCAGCAATGGGTCGGGATCTCCTCCAGAGTGGAGGTCTAGATCCTTCAGGCTTCCACCCCTGAACCTTCATGATCGGCTGAATTCAACAGTAGAAACCTTGCTGCTTGGAAGTCGCAAGTGCCACATGCCGACGACACGGCACTTTGCTGTGACTGGCGATCATACCCTCCGGTTCAAGCTGGCCGAAAGACACCGGCCTGGCGGTTATTGGGGGTCCCAAAGCCAAGGAACAAGAAGTTGGCTAGCACTATTACTACTGCCGTAGCCAAGGCAGACACAGAACGGCGCTCGTGGACGACGACGCGAATCGATCGCCGCCTCCAACTCAATCAGCACGTGGTGGTCCGACCGTTGCTCAGCTTCCAGCTGCCGTGCCGGCGGCTTCGATTCATCAATGGAAGCCTCAGCCTTCAGCAACCTTCCATCTGGCAGACTGTCAATGTCACCACCGCATGTGCCGCCGACCTTCATCTCAACAATCTGCGCCACCGCCGACCCAAACCTGCTCATTAGTCTGCGCTAGCGATAACCAACTTGCCAGATTTGGGCCCAGGTCCCGAAGCCATTGCTGTTGCTCGGGCTCCTTCGGGCATCGTTCACTGGCACTTGTTTTCTGACTCAGGAGGCCAGCTTCAACACAAAACCGCTAGCCTCATCTTCCCCCCGGGCTTTCCCTGTCTTTTGGGCGAGCTCCAAGCACCAAGCAGTCGGTACACGGCGTGGTCCCTTTGGAAATGAGCTTGGGTGATATGATTGACGTGATAATGGATCAAAGGACTGGGAAACTCTCCCTTCAGCCGCAACCTATTTTCTCGCTTGACAGACAGGATGCCACCGTCGCCGCTGACCCGACGACCAGCACTCGACGACAATAGAAGCTTGATTTGCCATTGCCATCCGTGATGGGGAGGATCCCGTCTGCAACCCGCCGCCCCATCGGTCCGGTCAGCTCTGCCGGGTTGAGGCTGGTCCGGGAAGCCCTCCGCGGTGTCCACGCACCCACATGTCTACAGTCATCAGCGAATCTGCGCCTGCAAAGCCAACCTCCACTCGCCATACATGTTTCGAGCCATCGATGCCTCAAACCCAACCGAGGGGTCTGGTTGGTCGCAACCTTGCTGCGGATAGTTCGGTCGAACTCGTACGTTGCCATGCCGCCTATACTCGCCATGGCCTAGTTCCACTGTCATCAGCCTATCCGGTCTTCTCTCTAATGACAGTTGCGACGACGCTTGCGCATTGCTGCTCCTCCTCGGCCCAACCCACGCAGCTAGTCGACGGCTTCATATTAGACGGATTGTGGCGTCCAACGTTTTCATCTCGGGTCGGCGTGTGAGACTCTGCGGTCGGCAGATGCCCGCCAGAACCGCACTTGGAACCGGCTAGAATACGTCAATGTCATTTTGTCTCGCCATGACACATTCGATGCCAGCCTCCGAAGCTATTCGCCCTTGGTGCAATATTGCTGCGATGATCATCTTCTCACACTATCGTGTTTCAACTCTCATTACCCACCGGCATCATGGTAAAACTCTTCATTGCCATCCCGAGCGCGCGCCCCGCCGGCTTCTTTGAAGGATCCCCAGCCAAGACATTTTTGGACCATCGAGGGCAAGCTTGGGGGGCGCGGGCTTCGTGAGGGAGGGCTCGTAATACGGCCCAAACCCCCCTTGTCCTGCTCCGGAGTATCCATCTCATCATTCTGCCCGCTTGTGTGTGTGCATGTGTGTCCTGATCGCACTTTATGCAGTTGCGAACGCCGGACATGGGTGATCACCCTTCCATGTTCCTGAAATCTTGGTAGCAGATTCTCAAAAGTCGTGCCCGGGGGAGTCTATCCATGCGCAGATCGCAGGGGGGGCGATCGCTGCGATCTAAGGCTGCATGATAAACATGGCCTTGCCGTTGCTTGCTCCCCAGTTCTTAATTTCTTCTTTCTTCTCCTCCCCCGTCACCTTGTTCCCTGCCGCGGTCTACGACTCCGTATTCATGTCTGGCCTATTTGGCCAGCTTCCAAGGGGGTGACATGGCCATTCAGCTGCCTCAAGAGGAGTTGGGCACAGCTATAGGAGTTCTCGTCTACTCCTTGTTCTGCCTCGCATGCAGTTGTACCATGGGATGGCTGACCTATGCCCATCGTGAGGCTATCAGCTGTAGGTTATCCCTTTGTCGTGGCCAGCAGGCAGCTGACTGTCATCAATGCAGATGTCGCACTTGTGTCATACTTCACGGGTCTCTCCACAGCCGCCTCCGTGGCCCAACAGCTTCACACGATTGTGTACTGGAGGGATATCAAGAATGCGCAGTTTCGACACTCTATCGCCAACGTTGGCAACCCTGAACTCGCCATCGCCGGACAGTCGACCGGTCTTGACCTCGTACTCTTCTACATTCGTAAGTCGTCCCTAGAGCACGAACTGCGCACGCCTGACACTCTTCAGAGTTTTACAGCTACAATGTCGAGGCGGCCTTGACCTTCTTCTGGTCCATCGCGCTCACGCAATCCATCTTCCAACTTGAGCCGGTCAAGTCTACACGAAAGCGAGCCAACTATATCGCCAAAGGCACCGCCGTTCTGCTGCCCGCCTTGCTAATGGGCATTCTCCGACTTGAGGCGGTTCAAAAGCAAGCTGTGCCTTTTCTCTTTCTGGCGGATGGAGTCAGTAAGTGACATCTGCAGCCATCGGATAGCTTCGTCTGACAACATGTCTAGTGGGCTTTTGTCTCAGCGGGAGTGGTGTTCTTCTCATCGTCATCTTGGTCAAGTACATCCACACGCGCCGCAACCTCTTATCATGGAACGTCCGCTATGGCCAACGTTCGGCCAGCACCAAGAGTAGCGACACTCTAGTGGTCGACACTAGTAACGGGAAACGCCGCCAGAGTATATACGACAGATGGCTCGTCGTTCGATTCAGCATCGCCTTTGTGGCATTAGCGTGAGAATAAACTCCTGATCCATCGCCTAGTTCCCCGACGACTGACTAGTCCTTTTAGCATTTTCCAGGTGGTCACGATCATGTTCCAAGTATCATCTGCCCGCCAAAACAACCGTGACTCGTTGAGCGACAGCCCGGACCTCAGCACGGAGCGCCTCCATCTGGACCTCATACTTTTCCTGCCCGGCGTCTCGGCGAGTCTCCTCACATTTGTCGTCTTTGGGACCACCAAAACATTCCGCGATTACCTGGTCAATAAGCTCGTACCGAAAAAGCTGCGCAGGCTGAGCAAGCAGGCGTCTCCGAGGAGAGCCCGACGGTCGATGGCGTACTCCCAGAGGAGCGGCACACGCCCGCCACGGCTGTCTCTCGACACGTATGTTGGGAACGATCTGGATGTGTACACGCCCACGCGCGACGGGGCTGGAATTCAGCTGAGAGAGTTGAATGCGGATGGCTCAAGCAAGCCGGGCGAAGACGAGTTTCCCTTGGTGCCTGAGCCGATTAAGCCTAGCAATGTTTATTTGTATCCAAAGCAGTAGTTATGATTCATGACCAAAATGATACCACCCGAGCCGAGGCTCTGTTTCGATTTGTATATCGAGGCTTTGTGTGCATTTTATAGCTGAGATTAAAGTGATGAAGTGAATCGCGAAACGATGGATCCGAAGATGTCGTCGGTCGCTCCATTGCGACGGTAATGAGCCGCTGTACAGCTTCGGGATGAATGTGCAAGAGGGAACTTATTGGCAATGATCCAGTCTTAGCTCCCTCGTCGTCGCAATTTCCAATGTCGAGACTCCTCAAAATACAGTCTGAGAAGACGATAGTACAGGAAAGAGATGAGGGTGTGGCGATGAAGTCGTTCACTTGAAATCGAATACGACGCATTTCTGATCTCACTCCATTGCTGTGATCCTGTGACATGGTTGTAGAGCCTACCTACCTACCTGGGTCAGAACCCAAGTTGAGTCAGACTTGCACTTCGGACAACTGTTGGTGTTTCGCTGTCGTCCAGCGAAGGCGACGCCTAGTTGACATGAGCACTGCTGACTAAGACAATTAGCGCCGTGCACGTCCACCGTCAAGCTCCATCAACATTCAACCTCTTTCAACCTCACCTGAGGCTCCATTGCGACGGCAAACAAACCCGACAGAGCAGGTTGTTCTATCACCTAACTCATAATTATTCACTGCGAGCGACTTCACACGACGCGACGAGCCGCCCTGGCCATCTAGAGCACTGCGGCAGGACGACGGCAGCGATTGGCCAACGTGCCCCGACTGAAGTAAACCCACCACGCGGCCAGATCCACTCACTTCCAGCTTGCGACTGAGGCGCATCACATACACAGCACCTCTGGTGCAGAATGTGCTAGCACATGAGAGACGCGCTTTTCATTTGATCTTCCTTTCTTCTTCTGGAGTCTGAGCCCTTTGTCTTTTGCATCCATATCATAGGAGAATTTCCGACGCGTCTCCTGGGTCGCCGCTACCCGAGGCGGTCGCTCAGCCTAAACAGCATCCAGCACCTTCACCTCTCTCTCACGCCTCACCATGACGGGGCCCACGTCTTCCGATGAGTTCGCGGTGGTAAACATCTGCCGGAGCGATGGCCAGGACAGTGGTCCCGGTTACTGGCCAGCCCCGGCTGATGCTGCGAAGAAGAAGGCGCCTTTGGACAAGGTACCACGGGCGAAGCCTCACATGATTCGGCTAGCCGAAGACGACCCAAGGTTCCAGGAGTGGCGTATCAAGCTGGGAATCTTGCTGAAGCAGGAGCTGAACCCAACAGGTGAGTTCAGAGCCACTCGAAATCACTCATGCGTCTAACCCTCTCACAGAAGGCCCGTCATGGCTCCTCAACTTCCCGCGGGGATACTGGTTATACGAAAAGTCTAAGCACCTTTGGGTATCAGGCTATCCCGTCAAATCCAAGCTCTTCAAGAGCCCTCAAGAGTTCGGTCTCCACCTGCTGTGGCTCCTCTCCAACTCTACGGACCGGATGGACTGCCGGTGCATTCACTGCAACGTCCGAGAGATGCCTGCCCTCGAAGAGCTGACCGTGACGGAGATCCCACGTCCGGTACCCGGGCCGACGAATGCGCAGCCCCCGTCCAAGATGCGCAAGATTACGCCGCAGATGCCGCTCAGTCGCACTGCTTCACCAGCGCCAGCAGCGGCAACCCCACCAAACCCGAAGAAGGAAACGCCCGTACCGGTTCCGACGCCCGCGCTGAAGAAGGAGACCCCCGTGCCGGTGCCGTCGATACCGCCTCGTGCCGTGCCCGTCCCGGCTCCGGCTCCGGCTCCAGCCCCCGTCCAGACACCGGTCCAGCCGCCACAGGTCCCAGTACAGGTCCCGGCACAGGCGCAGCCACAGCCACCACCGCAGCCACCGGCGCAACCCCCGGCCCAAGCCCTTCAACCTCGAGTCCAGACGCCGGCACAACAACCCCAGCAGTCTATAGCCCAGGCACCCTACCAGCAGCAGACGCAGTTCCCTCCCTACCCTCAGCAGCCGCACAACCCGGGCGCTCTGTTCCGCGTCGGAGAGATGGTTTGGCACCAAATGTCCAACGGCTGGCGCCTTGGCGTCGTGGCAGCTACGGGCATCATCAACCCCAAGAACAGCAAACCCGAGGCGCTCCAGATCCTTCCTATATCCCATTATCTCTTCGGTCAGCTTCCGGTGCAGCTCATCGAGGCGTCAGCCCGACCCTTTCTTGCCTTCTCCGTACCAAGTGTGGGCATACCAGAGCTGCAGGGCAAGGCGTACGACGACGTGCCGTGGCAGCAATTCCTTGGCAGTCTGAACCCCGAAGACACCCACCGCCGCGAGGTGATACTGTTAGATTCGTCCAAGATGGCAGCTCAGAAGATTGGCTCGTCTTACTCCTTGTTTACCCGCCTTTCGACAACCGAAGACGGCAAAAAGACGGACTACCAGGGCATTTTCCTTGGCGCGGAACGCGTCGAGCTCGGCGACGTCCTGCGTATTCGTATCACTACCGATCAGCCGGGGGTTCCGGAGGCAGCTACAAACCTGTCGGACGCTCTGCTTGGCCTTCGAGAGATTTGCACCGCGGTGGATATGCCTGGCGCGGTGTTTTTCAAGGGTGATATCTATCAGCCCATCACAGGCGATAACAAGCCTGTGGGCGGCATGCCCGTGACTGAGGACAAGCTACCGCGCCCCTTGCGCGAAGAGAGCGCCTTCCGAAACAAGTTTGCGCCGGCGGAGCGCTGGCGGTGCGTGCTTCTCCGGCACAACGCCGTCCTCCGCGAGGGCGAGCTCAAGGGCCGCTTCTATCCAACCCATAAGCTTCTTCCTCTGCTCGACGGCCAGCAAAAGGTCGGCGCCGAGGTGCAGCAAGGCATCGTCAGGGACGCGCAGCAGCGGCTCAACCAGCGCATCGACGGATTCAAGACTGGTTACATTGGGCGCAAGAGCACGCGCGCCGAGACGATTGGTCCCGCGTTGCCGCCCGGCAGTGCCATCCGCTTTGGCAACGAGGTACGAGAAGAGACAGAGGCCTAGAGAGCCTTTTCTCTACGTCCCGGGAGACCAGTGGTGGTGCCTCGCCATCATGGATATTATTACCCTTGAGATTGTCGCCAGAACTTGTCTCTGAGACAGACCATGGGCGCCGTGTGGCCACCGAGAACATTACTAGAACATACTCTTGGCCGTGGTATAAACGTTGATTGGGAGGCCGGCCATTGAAGAGGGCTGAAGAGCATTTCCTGTAGAATAGATCCAGGACCAATCATTGGAGGAGGGGCGTTGATGGAGGAAGTTTTGTAGACTAGAAAGATCACACAGCATAGCTCTCGGGGAAGCCGACGGGAGCACATATCACATCCATAGCAATCTGTTTTAAGAAGTCATGATGGCACCTCTGTTGCTTTGACCAATTCCATTGCGAACCCATCTACCGAGACATTGCCATCGACATCACAACCACACGTTACGAGGACATCAAACCAGCTCCTTCCAGTTGTGGAATTCACATGCAGGCTCGATATAGGGCCCCCGTAGATTTTCTACCCAAAAAGAAATTCACAACTCACCAATCACCGCGTCAAGTCCCGCCGCGCCACAGCCTCACCTGTCTCTCTTTCTCACACACACCAAGTCATCTCGCATGATCCAATGGCAGAGCAAAGTCCTACAATCACCCAGACCAGACTCCCGGGACCCCTCCGTCAGCACGCTACTTGGACGAAGAATATAGGCCAATTCTGCGCTTTTCATTCGTCGGTACCTGATGGCGCGTTGGAAAGAAAAAAAAAAAAGACAAGTCTTAGCCACCATCCATCAACACACCATCCAATACTCTCAGCCCCCCGTTTTTCTAGAAGGCCAAGAAGGCCGACCACACACACACACACACACACACACATACGGGCGGTTTTGTCCGTGGCGTTCCCCCCGTTCCCGCCGCCCGTCAGATTAGGAAACCAATTCACCAACCAACAGAGCAAACACACATTACGACCAGGGGCTCCGTCTCCGTCAGCACCAAAAGCCGCGGGAACCCAGGAAAATGGACCGCGCAGATCTCGTTTCCCCCCAACGAGATCTCATCCTGCAAACCCGTGGCAAAGTGTTCCAACTCACCGCCAATTTTTTTTCCTTCGTTTGATTGTCATGGGCATTACGCACGCACGCCCCTTTACGCTACCCAGGTAGGCGACCCGCGCCACACACTCACACACACACGCGCATATACCCTGCGATACGAACGCACCACACATACACACACCCCTTAATTCACACGGCCAAAATTAATCCTCTGCTTAAACCCGTCGCCCGGGCTCGTGGCTCGCTCTCACCTCTCACTCTGTACGTGCGTGCGTGCGTGCTGTCATGGGCAGATTTCCCGGGATTGCGGTTCCCCTCTGATTAGCCCCCCCTCCCTAGTTGCCGGAGACCTCGGTCAGACTTCTTGTGTGTGCGTTGCGCGCATGAACTTTGCTTTTTCGCCCTCTTGTTCGGTTTCTGGAAATATGACCTGACAGGCTACGTTACACGGTTACACGAGTCGACGTAACATCGCTGGTTGACGACTCGTCGTAAAGTCAGATGATAACGGTCTGCTAGTATGGTTAGGATAACGGCCGATGGCACATCACGGACACCGTCTGACGAAAACATCATGACACAGAAGAAACACAGCTTGTCCAAGGCGATTCTGATTTGCAAAATCCTAAACCGTTGGATACAATGATTTGTAATGGGTGATTCGTGAGAGATGGGAAGAATGTGATGAGAAAGAGAAGAATAATCCGCTTTCCGCACGGCTAGTCTGCCACCCTTGATTTTGGACCCGCGTTGTCGGTTCTGTTTGTCTGCCCATTACCGCTCTTTTCTTTCTCGCTGCAAATGCAACTCCCCTCTTCGATACAGCGCCTATCAACTCCCTTTTTGCTTTTCTCTCCGTGTCTCTCTTCGCTTCAACCGCCGTGTGTCTCCGGTTCGTCCCGTCTTCCGCGATTATGGCCTGATCCACCCCCTCCTCCCAGTTCAGGTGCGTCAGGGTACGTCTCCTATCCTTTCTTTTTCTGTTTCTTTTCAGTGTGGTGGGCAAGGTGTATGCAGCAAGTTGGAGGTTGTCATTAGTCGGCAGAAAACGGTGCCTTTTGTGTGGTCGAGGCAATGCTGGGTTCGTGGTCGCGTAGTGTGTGTGATGTGCTTCAAGGCTTCATGTTCTTCGTTATCCCTCTGGTTTCGTTGGCCGATGCAGAGAGACCGTTGTGGCGGAATGAGAAGGTTTGTGATGATGCAGATGATGGATGGTCGTGTGGTTTCGTAGTGTTGCAATATGAAAGGAACGATGAATGCTGGTTCGACGGAAAGAATCGGATGAAAACGTGCGCCCGAGGGATTTTGAAGATGAATAGGAAATGTCGCGTACTCGCTCCCGCCCCCTGCACCAAAACAGCTTCGACATCATTCACCCCGCCATGCCCGGACGCCTTCAAGTCGAATTCATAAAAGTCGGACGGTGTAAACACAGTGGAGTGTCGCATTACTTGAGTTTTAGAGCCTCGATCTTGGCTTGTATGCTCTTGAGGATTTCCGGGTCTGGTTCTGGCTCGACCTTGCGAGGCTTCAGGCGAGGACAGTTGGCGTCTTTCTTGTGTCCACACTTCTTGCACTCGGTGCCGTCCTCCGCCCCGCCGGGGTATATCGTCTTGCACTTGTAGCACTCGTGATGCGGCACAGCATTCGGCCCAAACTCGTCGCCAGGGTATCCGAACGGATACTTGTCCTTCTTGGGACTGTTGATGCGGTTAGCAGTCAGCGTCGACATGTCACGGGGGTTCAACGTACGGGTCTCTGGGACAGTCGGTGCAGCGGTTGTGGCTGCACTTGGAGCATGTCTTGCTGCCGGCGGTAAAGAGCGTCTGGCACTCGTGGCAGGTTCTGCGAACCCTCTGTCTGGGCTTCTTGTAAATGAGATCCTGTCCTCCAGTCTTGCTGGGGCGCTTGAGGACGATGTCCTTGGCATCCTTCGGATCGTACGAGTAGTCGGGGATGATGGGAGCGTTCTCCTTCTGGGCCTTGAGGATTGCGGCGCGCTTCTCCCGGCTCGCGATGCGCTCGGCCTCGGTCCGCTTGGGCGGGTAGCGGACGCACTTGGTGCAACGGACGTGCTGGCAGGTAGGGCACTCTTTGGCGGCGGCGAAGGTAGCGTTGCACTTGTGGCACGTTCGGTGAACACGCATGCGGATGGGCTTCTCGACGCGGAGAGCGGTGCCCTCGGTGGAGATCCACTCGCTCTGCTTAATCTCGAGGCCGAATCTCTCGCCCAACTTTCTGGCGCGCTCCTCAAACAGCTCGGCTCTGGGCACCTTGACGACGCCCTCGAGGTCCTCGTACTTGCTCTTGGTCGGCTCCTTGGCGGTCTCCTTGGGGGCGGCAGCAGGGGCGGCGGCGGGGGCAGGACTGTGATCATGTTAGACTCGTCATACAGGCCATTGCGATATCGCAAGAGTTGGTTGATAGGAAGTAATTGGCGCTTACGCAGTGCTGGACTGTCCGGCAGGCTGTCCAGAGGTGGAAATGGTCGACTGGCGCTTGGAGGAGGATCCCTTGAAGACGGTCTTGGCTCTAGCGAGCATCTTTCCCAGGCCCTTCTTTTCCTTCGGGACCGAAGGCCCGGCCTGCGCTGGCGAACTCATGATTGCTGTTGCTGTTGTTGTAGTGACGAAGCGTTGGTTTGCAAAACGTGGGATCCCGGGTCAATTGTGGATTTCCTGGGGTGAGTTGAAGATCTGCAGTGCACTAAAACCACAATCGAGCAGGGCTGGGATTGGTGTTTTGGCGATGCGGTTGACGGAGGAGCAATTGTGTCTCGCGGCAACGTCTTTAAGAAGCGTTGGTGGTGGCGGTCGAGAGGCGAAAAAGTGCAAAAGGTGTGTGGTTTGAGGGTGGTGGTTCGCGCTGTCGGGATTGATCAGCGGACTGGAGGCGAGAGCTGGATGTCGATCGTCGGTTGTTGCGAAGCGAGGCAGCACGGCGCAGCGGGCGACGTCGAATTGCGGCGGGTGCGGCGATGTTGACGGGCGAGAAAGGTTGAGTCCTCCACGATAGTTGTGTCTATCTCCTTCCCATTGCCTGGCGGTGAGGAAGAAGAAGAGGTCGAAATCGCGAACGACTACTTTTTTTTAGTTGTTCGGGATGAGTCGGCCGGGAAGAGGGTGTGGTGTAAGAAGGGGGGAGGATGAGGAAGAAGAGGACGGACGGGACGTGGACGGGGAGGAGGTGGTTGAAAGGAAGTCTGGAAAAAGTGGGAAGACAAGCCAAGGCCAACCAGGTGGTGTACCAACCCAAGTCAAGCGTATCCGTCCTTTTTACTGCGTAAGTGGTGCGCCGTACCGTATGCACTGCGTAAGTAGCGTACCTAGGTAGCGCAGGTAGTGGTCCCAGTGCAGCGTCCCAAGAGGGTGGTGGGAAGGCACAGGGGTTTGAAGGGGGACATGGGCAGAGGGCTCCACGTCCTTGGCCAGCAGCAAAAGTGCAGGTTGCTGGTGCTGGTGCAGTTACAAGGGCCATGCAGTTCCAGCAGCAGGGGCAGCGAACAGCGGGCAGCAGAACCAAAAAAACAACAGACGGGGGCGGAAGACCAGACCTTACCGGCGACACACCTCACCTGGGCTGGGGAGCGGTACCAAACCAAACGTGGACTGGCAGTGGTAGCACTAAAAACCCACCTCGCTGGGTGACTGCTGGTGACTGGTCACCCATCACAGCACGGTGGCTCCAGTGGCTCCCCCCAGTGGCTCCCCTCGAATGGCCGTGGCCCCATCCCGGAGACAAGGCTCCACTCTTCAGAACAAGAGCGATCCACAGTTCTCGAGTGGATAAGGTACTCTCACAACCTGGAACCCAAGCTGGTGTGGAAAGATACGTACCTGTCCCGAGGGAAGGGTGGAAGGACGCCGCGACAGACACCCGACATCCAGACAGGCCAACCAGCCAGCCAGATTCGAGCGTCAGCACAGGCGCTGCATCTGGGGCTGGGGTGTGGTGGAGCAAAGGGAGGGGGCGTCCACCCTCGCCCACCCCTCCCTCTCCTCTCTTTCACTCCTGCTTCGTTTAGTCCTTGGTAACGTAACTGCTGGGATCGATATTGCACTGACTGGCGACAGACAACCTATGGGACTGGATGACTGGCTCATAGGGGCCGTCCATCTCTCTCTGTCTCTAAGGTACCTAACAAGCAACGCACCTCACTTGTACACTCGCAACTCACATAACCACTGCACTTCTTATCCGCACATACAAGACCACCACATCGCTCTGAAGCGAAGAAGCGAAGCGGGGGTCTGTACCTTCCAATTGGGAAGCATGTCCGAGCTTTTCTGGTTTCTGCGATTGCGGGCCTGGAAAGCGGGGATCTGGGAGGGTCTTGAACCACACCCATGAACCCTGTCAACCCTGTCCAGAGGCACAACCACAACCGGGGGATTCACACGGAGCTGCTCTGGAATATGTCCGGCGCTAAGCCCTTCGGGGCCATGCCTCACCTCAGTCGCTGCGGTTGCTGTCGACACTACTGCGTGCTGTCGACACGAAAGAGCGTTCGTTCCTGGCCTGACATCCGTGATACACGTCTTAGCTAAGACTGCCGTTCCTTGGGCGTGCAGCAGGTCCCAGACTCTTCCAGACACCACATTATGGACGAGGCTCGGAGGGAGACACCCAAAGAGGGATTCCAGGAGACGGCGATATCGATCTTCGAGACCGGGACGACGTGACAGGACGTCCCCTTCGCCCTCGGCGCGCGGATGTGTCTGCCTCTCTCACCATGCACCTTCCGTCTCCCCAACGCTAACGAGCTGGGCACAGGATAGCCTCAAGGGAGAGGAAGGGCGGTGGACTAGCTGGGCCTACATAGTACCTTGCCTCGAGCTAACTTGCCTACTCTGGTATCCGTAGCCTGCTGGCCAAGTGCGCCGTAGCGCAGCCTCCAGCCGTGGTGTCCGTAGCGCCGCCTACTCAACTTAAGGTGCCGTGGTAACGTGCGGTGAAGATCCCAAGGCCAGAGCTAGAGAAAGGCCCTTTTAACACACAGATGATGGCTTTTCCAAAAGTCCCCTACCATCCAAACCAACCAACGGACCGCGGCATTCGACAAGCAAACCTTTCTTTTAGAGATCAAGCTCCGGCTTGTCGTCGTGAGACCTAATTAAAACACGACCGAGGATATCCCATTCTTTCTAGTTTCCCGCCCCCATGATTCCAATTCCCGTCTGTTGGCGGGGGCGCGGCCGACCGACCGACCGACCGACCGAACGACATACACGGTATCGTACGCCCCCAGCATATATCAATCGACAAGCCGGACATTGTAGTGTCTCACTCTCGGTCGCTTATTAGTAGATGGGGAAGGGGAAATACACTCGACGGGGGGAGGGGGTTGAAGTGTCGTGTTGAAGAACCAGAACCTCGGAACGCATACAACGCCTGACGGTTGATTGGCAATTGGCGGGAATTAGCAAGCGACGTAATTACACGTTTGGCGAGTGGGATGAGGAGTCTCTCCCATGACATTCGCTATCCGTACTCATGGACGGTAAGGTAATGACAGCAAGACCGGCCGTGCTCACCTCACATCACCTCACCACCATCGCAGCACCTGGAACCTGGCATCTGCACCTCCTAACAACACTGTGGAAGCGTGACAGCAAACTGCGTCTTCATCCTGCTGCCCACGGCCCCAAGCACCACCCACCCGACCCACGGGTATCTAGATAGCAAGCCGGACCCGAAATGGCTTAGCGGACGGGCCTCCCTTCCCTTCTTTAACTTCCCGCACTGGGTACGGAGTCCACTTGGGCAGAGCGCAAAAATCTCACTACTGCAAGAGAAGCCAAAGCCAGATGCAGAAGACTGCTTCCCCGGCGCCCCGTATCCATCCTCTTGCTTCCCAGACTCCAGTCCCAGGCTCCCAGCACATGAAAAAGAGCAACGGGGGCCCGCTGCTGCGATGAAAGAGGCATCTGGATCGTCGAGGAGGAGATCCCTTTCAGAAGAAGATGAGCAAGCAACAAAACACACAAGACAGAAAGGGCCCACCGCCTCCTGAACCTGAACCCGGCCGAGGCTTTTCGCAACACGTAGGATCGGCCACGATAGACGACAACACCATGTAATGTCTTGGATCCCGAGCATAGGGGAGAGCCGCGGTCCACGGGAATGGTAGCGGGGCGTCTGTCTGTTGTGGGAGGGAGAGAGGCCCTCTCGCTATGAATCAATATCCCGTTGATACCAGGACGGTGGAACGAGACCGCCGGCCTAGCGTCCCAGAAAGAGACACTTAGATGCCTCGGACGGGTCAGGTCAGGCACGGCACGACGATGATTACTCTTTCATTTCAGGCGCGGGGAGCGCAGAGCCCCTGGCGCGCAGGACTGCTTCATGTCGGTCTCTCACAATTAAAACACCACGCGATAGACGTTCGGCCGCATCGCCGACGGCTTCATCGGAGCGCCGCGAGCCCGACACTGCGTTCCTCACGATGGCTGTTCGCTGCTGCGACTGTGCAGTACCAAGACCTACGTGCCGGGGTGAGATGCATGTAGCCTCGGACAGGATGAAGCTCCTTCTGTTGGCTCCTCCTGTGTACGGAGTGCTGATACGTAGGACGGGTTGTTGGATGGCTCCTCTCCTCTCGCTGTCCTGTTGGAAGGCTGTACATAAGATGGGATATCCGTACAGTGCAGGACCAAACGAATAGAAATGGAATGCCCCGTGGTGCAGTGGCCCTCTCAGGTCCCAGGACCGTCCCTTGCTTAGAGGCGTTGTGGATTTGGGTTGGTCCCATGTCTCTCGCACCTAAAAGCCTCCTGACCTTATTCCCGGGCACCGACCGAGGCGATCCCAGCAGTTCATCCCCGACCCCAGAGAGGTAATCCGGACGGTAGGAGGAGGTGTTCGATTGTAATCAGCGCGTTGTGAGGATGGACATGTCTTGCCTTGGATGTTGATGTCTAGTGGTTCGGATTTGCGGCGTAGGAAGTTGGGAAGCAAGGCTTACCGCTCCTTCATCGTGCGCACGTGTCAGTCCAGCAGGCCGGGGACAGGGCGTCGCATCAGCAGAGTTTCGTTGCTTCTTTTTGCGAGTCTCTCCCAGCCTTACTGTGTTTTGCGGCGGAAGTGTTTTTCCCAGGGACACGCCCCCTAGTAGAAGAGAAGAGGAGAGTCGATCCGAGTCGAGGGCGTTCGCACTTGGGAGGACTTGGTTAAGAGCCCCGTGTGTTTCCGTGTCTCTGGTATCCGTATCTCTCAGTGTCTTACTTATGCAGTACGTACCTGCTCTTCTTTCCCTCATGCGCTGGATCCAGTCTTCCTGCTATGAGGCCCCTGATTGGTGCTGTAGACGAGAGAGATGAGATTGGGCTCCCGGGGGGCGTCCACCTCAGAGTTTAGAAACGGGGACTGGGATTTCGGGGGAGGTTTTCAGATGGAGACCTGTCGCGTTCACTGTGCACAGCGAGGCCCAGGCACCGCGCGGAGACGAACGATGCTCACCTCAGAGCCCAAGCACCCGGGCGAGCGAGCACATCTCCAGCACAAGCACCACATAAAACAGCAGCGGGGGTTTTGCTGGTCCCGTCAGGCCAGCACAGGGCGGTACGGATAGCAGGGAGACACAATCCGAGGTTGCTCTCTGCAA